CTTCAGGTAAATATAATGTGCTGAGTGAGTCACTACGTTTTATGATGAATAGGAATTCATTAAGTCTCGGCACGCATGCGCCAAAGGGTCTGTCTGTCTGTCTGTCTGCTCTGTTTAATCTCACATCTTGCACTATGATAATATTATGGAAATCAAAAAGCTTTCTCTAAATTGCTTACCTCAAAAGTTAGAGTGATTTTTCCCTTCCTGATTTTGATTGGATGGGTAACATGGACGTGCTCATGAGCTATGCTATTTTATTTCAGGGAAATCCCCTGATATCAGAGGTGTAGACGTAATTGAGCGGACAAAGATAGATATCTCTCCAGATCAGCCACTGGACTTTCACTGGGAAGGTCATGGGTTCAAGGTTCAAATCCCAGCTGATGCCATTGCTACGACAGGGCCAGTAACTAGGGGTGAGAATATTAACTTTGATATGCCAATAAAATAAGCTCTTTGTTGTTACACGTGCAATAACGTACGTAATGCAGAATATAGGTAACGTTGTAGCCATGCAAGCAGCACAAGTTGCAAGGCACTGGACTGTAGATCCCTGGTCTCGCGGGGCCTGGTTCCCTTCCCCTGCAGAATGTCTGGCCCCACAAGACTAGTAGATCCTGAGGTCCCTAGTTCGAATTTTAGCTCAGCCATTTTGTATTTTTTCCCGTTGCATATGCGTTGCGTACGTAAGTTGACCCTTGGGATGGTAGGGGCCCCAATCAGATTTATTATGCTCCAGAAGAGTATGTCAATATTTTTCTTACACCTACCAGTGACAACACATATCCAGGCTAGTCTGAGTGGGGAGTACAAACTACCAGACGACAGAGTCCTTGTCAGTGAAGTCTTCTGGCTCTCACTCGATCCTCCCGTGGAGACATTTGACAAGAAAGTCACCCTCGCTCTCCAACACTGTGCCTCGGATGACGACTCTACACTTGCCTTCATTACATCCACACAAGACAACCCACCTTACACCTTCCTCCCACTACCAGGAGGGTCCTTCTCAGAATCAGGGCATGGAACCATTGATGTAGACCATTTCTCACCGTTTGGGCTGATTGCAACAAGAAAGTCGTATGCTTTCTGCACGTTTTACCTACCAATTGAAAAGCCAAAAACACATCAAGTCCACATCACTGTTACTCCAAATCTGAAAATTCATCTTAAGGTATGCAATACAATCTGTAGCACTCTGTCTGGGTGCCTATGTATTACTGTGATGAGCACAGCATATGACATGTATGCACATTATCAATACTGCAAAACAATTTGTCCTCATATTAGGAAGTTAACAAGGTGTATAGAGAACGACAGGGTAAAAAGGGTCTTGAAATACAAGCCTGCCTTAAAGAAACAACAGTTTCACTCCACATCCCCGATATTGGCATCCCTGAGAGCACTTGGGAGAAAGATGGTTGGAAACTCACTCTGTTAACAACTGCATCGGTAAATCCATTACTTTTGTATTTAGTGTTTTCTAACTAATTTTCTTTCATTCAGCTTGAAAAGAGGTATTTAGAGGAATACAAGCCAGGAAGATCAATCCCCTGCTTTGCAATCAAATTAGAAGAGATTTCACCCTGCCAATGTTTAGTACAGAAAGTCCTGTTCATGGGAGTTGAAGAAAGGAAAAAATTCTTGTCCATAGGTATGGATATATGTAGCTATTTCACCATGCAATGCTAGTGATCGATTTGCCTTCTGACAGTCTGACAGTGTAAGCATAGTGATAATTTTAGGTATATTTTGTGAAAGTGATTTGGTGTGCTTGCTTTAGATACACGTTCACCTGCCAATCAAATCTCAGTATTTGCCTGTTATACGCGCCAGCCACAACACTTCTTTGGAAATCTTACTGGAATTGCTGTATATAGTAGCCTGCCATACAGCTAAATCCCAAGATTTACCACATTCTTGTAGCTAACTCAGGATCTTCTCTCTCCCTCTATAGAGACCCCCCTTTCTCCTACCTCCTCTGCCTCCACTACTGCTCCTACAGCCACTTCTCCTACCACTCCTACCACTGTTCCTACCAATGCTCCTACCACTGCTCCTGGTCCTGGTGAGTTGCATGATGTATGTTTGCTGTTAATGCATGTATGATTATCTGTGCTTTACATAAATACATATGCTGAGTTTTCATTATGAAGATGTATTTCATATTCGTGTATGAACGGTGGCATCGCTCACCGTTAGTTACTTGTTTATTCTGTAGTTTCTTCTGAAGCTTCTCGCTCTCCTGGTCGCTCTACTACCACCACTCCTGGTTGGTCCCTATACTTTATGATACATTTCATCGATAGGAATTCATTAACCATCGGCACGCATGCGCCAAAGGGTCTGTCTGTCTCTCTGTCTCTTCTCTAAAATTGCTTACCTAAAAAATAAGAGTGCTTTTTCTTTACCACGCAGAGGAGGCGAGGGACCAGCAGTTGGCGGACAACATCAGAGACGTGGGTGAGTCCTTCAACCTCTATTTGCACTCTTTTAACATTAATTCATGTTCCTCTACAGTGTCAGAGTGTTCCACAGGCTCCTCCACTACTGCCTCTGTTCCCTCTCCCTCCCTGTCCTCTCCTCCTGTCTCCTCTACCACTACCAACACTCCTAGTGAGTCATCTACATATATGTATGGACATGCAAACCGCTATCACATACACTCTATTCTCTACAGTCAGCCAACCTTTCTCAACCTCTCCCACTACGTCCAGTGTCTCCACATCTCCTCCTGCCTCCTCTACCACCACAACCGATAACACCAAACATAATACAGGTTGGTTGACAGTATTTTAAGAGGAACTCATGTCATTCTGTTTTTCCTATGCTAGTAGCTGAGGCTGAAAGAGTGGTATCTGTACCAGAATCTTCCTCCACCCATCCTGGTGAGCTTTCTCTTATACTATATGTATATAACAGTACACGCAAAAATCAGGCATCAGATTTTGAATGGGGGATCTTTTGCGATTGAATCATATCAACACTCTCTACTAGCTACTTCCCAATGTTTTTTTCAAATTATGCTGCCCACTAAGATTCGGCACAGATAATAGAGAATCCGGGGGGTTATAAAGGTTAATGTGTACTGCATGTCAATATTATACCAAACTTTGTACCTACAACCACTTGAAAGAGCTACACGCCAGGAAAAAAACAACAATGACAACTCTGTCTGTGCCATTGCCGTCATGCATCAACCTTATAAATAAAAATAAATTCGAACTTGATTATTAAGGCTTGACATGCCTGTACTTCTTATAATTGTATTTTGAATTCTGGTTTTGGCTCGGTGCTGACCTTGACCAGCAGGAGTGGGGAGGGGCCTAGGCTCCAAACCACGAATGTCTGAGCATGGTCAGCAGAACATACCAGTGGCAAAGCCTTGTGGGGATGAATCTCATTCATAAATGCTGCGCTCATGTCAGCCTTTATACACTCGTGATGCCAGAGAGAGAAGTTGTGGTATGCTCTGCTGATGAGGGCCAGCAAGCCCGAAACAGCTGTCCAGAGCTCCCCATCTTTTTCCTCTTGGCATCACATAGTTTTTCTACATGTGAACAGGAGCAGAAAATTAACAAATTCACTTTAATCAGATCCTACAACATAGTGCCTTTTTCCAAGGTCTCTGAGGCTGATACAGTGCTAGTCTCTGTCTTACGCATTTTTTTATTCACCAGTTAACTTGGAGTAATTGAGTTCAAGCACCTTGCATGTATGCACTGAAAAGTTTTGTGGATAGAGTTCACCCTATGTTTAGATCATTACACTGCCCCTGATAATAGCACCAAATGCACTCTTTGTGAACGGAAGTGGCCAACCTAGGCATCAAAACACACTGATAATATTTAGACACCTGTGGCCTGAGTGGGAGCTTACGGAGAAGACAGTTGAAATAGTGATTGAGGCACATTATGATGAAATACTTGGTCGCTATTTCATGATCCGTGAATGAGCACAACAAATCTGAAATAAGTTGACGAAAACAGCCACTTGTTTCAGCCTGTGAGACTATTATTTCCGCTGCTGTGAGTATCATGGACAGTATGTTACTTGTGCTTCACGCATGATCCTGCTGTTCTTTAAAGCTGTCGGTGTGTCCTATGTTGCTTATACCCACCAGAAATATAGAACCCTGTAAGCATCACACCACTGCATAAGTAGACAGTCCATAGTTTGGCAGAGAGTTCAGTTGGCTGCCATATCTCATAAGCTGCTGTGTGCAAGTGTGTGTCCTTGCTCTCCCTTCTTCTGTTAACACTCCTACTCTCCCACAGCCCAGAGGTTCACGCCATGGCTAGCTGATCATAAGAAGACTTTGATGTGTAAATAACAGCTCCTACCTCTGTTATTTGCACACTAAATAAGCACATGTGGGCACCTAATGCTTCACATTCTTGTGTCACCCCCACTCACAAAAAAATCACAGCATTTACCTAGTACAAAATCTATCATGTTTTTCTCTATTACCAAAGTGACCATTGAAAGAGACATGTTACAAAGTGAAGGAACATTTAAGCAAAAGAATATGGTGGTAGTTATCACTGGTCTAATGGAGGCTGGTAAAACCACACTTCTGCGCCAATTGTTTGGTGAAGCTCTCCCCGAGAAGTACACTAGCACAGGGGTTACAAATCAGCCCTGGCGAGGGCTTACTCCATATATGATGGACGCGAATGAGAATAAGTTTAAGCTCCTGAAAAATTATGAGGCTATTTTTGAGCGGGTAGCTAAAGTCGAAATAAACCCTTCGAATGAGGAAGTTGTTCAGACTGCAAAAAAGGAAAATGTTCCTTCAATACAGCAAAAGAAAAAAGAAGAAAAAGTTGACAAAACTGCTCAGCCTGCAAGAAGGAAAGTGCATGCTAACAGCACGGAATTACCCAAAGATGGAGATGGGGAAGAGGCAAGACATGAATATGTGTCCCCTGAATCAACAAAGCCACCTGTAGCCGAAGAAATTTCATGTGAAGGTATGGGCCAAGTTGTCACTAAAAATCCTGTAAATAAAGAAACGCCACTTTCTTCTAAAGAAGTGGCAGAAAAGGTTCGAAAGGAATATAATGAGATTGTACATATGATTGATACGGGTGGACAGCCAGAATGTCTGGAAATCATGCCTTTTTTGATTCACAATGCGCATCTCATACTTTTGGTGGTAGACCTGTCAGTATCTCTTGATAAATGTACAATACTTACTTTTCATAATGATGACCGTCCTCTTAAGAAAAAGCCTCTAATTACTTGCAATAGAGATCTTATTCAGCAACTTGCCCAAACTCTTGTGGCAGCACAAGGTGAGGGAAACAACGCTAACCAAAGCATCTTTGTTGTTGCTACTCATAAAGACAAAGTTAAAGATGAAGAAAAACTCACAACACTAAACAAGTTGGTAAATGAAATTCTTCCTGGTAATTCACTATGCACCAAAGCAACAGATGAGAGTGTGTTTGATATAAATTTACTAGATCCTGACGAATGTACTCTAAATAAAATATGTGACACAATTACACGAGAAATGAAGGAGATGAAGGGGCTTGATGTTCCTTTGTCATATCTTATGTTTAAAACGGAAGCCATGGTTCACATGAATGAATTAAAAAGGACGGTTAATGTTTTAAAACTGGAAGAATGTTTTGACTTAGGAAGAAGACTAAAAATGAGCGACGATGCTGTTAAGAATGCTCTGAAATACTTCAATAAAAATAACATCATGTTGTTTTTCGAAGAAATTGGCCAAGGGCTCGTAATTCGGGATCAAAACACACTCATTGACTTTGTGAATACGGTTATATTATTCTTCTGCCATGATGCTGCAAATTGGGAACAAAGTCAAATAATACTTAAAGCTAATGAGAGAGTGTCTCTTAGCAAAGGATTGATTACAGAAGCAATTTTAAAGAGAATGCAAGATATATTTGTTCCTGGAATATTTGAAGCTTGTCATGCTATTAAAGTCTTTGAAAATCTCACCATCATTGCTAAGATTTCGGAAAATGACTATATCATGATGTGCTTGCTTCCACGATTATCTGTGAAGGAGTTTGAGTCAAGAAAGCTGGTTTTCACGACGTCTCGCCCAGTGAAGCCACTAAGACTAGACTTTGGCATTGGTGACCCCCCTCAATGGCAACAATACTGCTCCCCCAGTGGTTGTTTTGGCAGCACTATTGCTTGCCTCATTACCAACTTCAGTTGGAGAATATGTACTGATGATTTATATGACGAAGCTCCTGTTTGCTTGTATCATGACATGGCTATACTTTGTCCAAAAGAACTAAGCTTAGAAGTAACTCTTGTCAACAAGACCAAGTATTTTGAGGTCTATGTAGGTGTAGATCCAGAGAATAGGGATGAATATAAGAAGCTTCCTGCAATTAGAAGTGACATAAAAGAAGCAGTTGGAAAAGTTTTAAAAACAATGAAGGTTAACCTCAGCGTTGCAGAAGGGTTTGAGTGTGACTACTGTGATAAAACCCAATACTTTAAAACAAATAATTATGCTAGGTGCAAGTGTGGGTCGAAGAGGGAATTAAGTCGTTGGATTGAAGCTGAACCGGGTATGTTCCATATATTGATAGATGCTGAACTCTAGGGACTTAGATAAATTCAGAAACAGGAAAACAAAGCTGTGATGTACATTGCCAGGGTTAATATAGGTTCCGAGCATTCCAGCATGTTACTTATATAGTGCAGAGCGTGTGTACAAAGCGTCCGCTTCCATCATCATGACTTACAACACGGCAGCATGCATGAAAACAAAAAGGTTTCTTACCATGTACATTATTCTAAACAAGTTAGCTACTGCGCAGAATTATAAACACAAAATACTTTTTGACTAGACTACTTAGCTCTGTAGAGTGTATTGATATATCTTATCCGGTCTCCTTTTAGCATACCCGGCTGAGGCACAGAACCAAGGAGGAGGTATGTGAAAACTACGAGGTAGAAAGGCAAAAGCACAACAAACAAGTCATCTACACCCAGGACAGCTCTTATTTTTCCAAAGAAAAAGAAGAGTTGCCCAGGGTGGGATTCAAACCCACGGTGATCTGCAATCTAGGCAAGTGCTCTATATACCACCTTGAGCTACCAGGGCAACATGTACTGCAGTATGTTTGGTTACAATGACTTTGTTGTTATTGTTTATTCCAGAACTGGTATGCATGCGTCAGTTTAAAAGACTAAAAACAGATAATGGGGATGTAAGGATTGTGGAGAAAAGTGCAGAGCTCTATAAAGACATTGGAACCAAGCTTCTTACTGCTGAATTAGTTGACTCAATATCAGAAGTAGCAAATGAAGACCCCAAGAAAGCAATAAGACTGATATACAGAATATGGATACGTACAGACAAAGGCCACTCGTGGAGAACACTAACACAATGTTTCAATGATGTTGGGCTTAAATCTCTTGCCCGGGACCTTGAAAAACACTTTGGGCTTCCTTCACCTTCAGGTAAATATAATGTGCTGAGTGAGCTTCTGACAGTCTGACAGTGTAATTAATAAGTGCATAGTGATCATTTTTCATTGTATGTGTAGGTATATTTTGCGAAAGTGATTTGGTGTGCTTGCTTTAGATACACGTTCACCTACTAATCAAATCTTCAGTCTATTTTCTATTTGCCTGTGTTATACGCACCACATACTTCTTTGGAAATCTTACTGCCATTGCTGTAGTAGCCTGCCATGATGGCTAGATCCCAAGATTTACCCACATTCTTGTAGCTAACTCAGGATCTTCTCTCTCCTGCTATAGAGACCACCCTCTCTCCTACTTCCTCTGCCCCCACTACTGCTCGTACAGCCACTTCTACCACCACACCTACCACTGTTCCTACAACCACTTCCACCACCACTCCTACCACTGTTCCAACCGATGCTCCTACCACTACTGTTCCTCCTGCTCCTGGTCCTGGTGAGTTACAAGCTGTTAAGCATGTATGATTATCTGTGCTTAACACCTAAAGCTCCATTGTCACTCTGAGGCTAACACATGTGAAACACTCAATTCCATGCTTGTGTGAGAAGTCATTTCATAGAAATGTATGGAAATGGTACTGGTGAAGGAGGTGCTTTTGGGGCATAGGCCTTTTCTCATAGTGTTCTGTTGAGACAATGCCACTAAAATGTTTACAGGTAAAAAAAGTCATAAATGACGAATTTGCCATCCTCTCCGTGTATCTGTTCCATTCTAGTGCTGGGTGACCTGATAACACTATCAACATCCAAGAGAGATATCAGAATATTGAAAGAGAGTGCAGTGAAATTCAAGGACATCGGAACCTTCTTACTGAGTGATGATACCGGGGCAAGAGTCATTACCATAGCAAATACTGCACATGGTGACCAAGTTGAAACTGTTAGAACGATATACATAGAATGGATGCGAGAAGTTGAAGATCACTCATGGAAGAAACTGATCAAGTGTTTCCGAGATGTTCAACTGAACTCTCTTGCCAGAGACCTTGAGGTACACTTTGGACTCACTTCACCTTCTGACAATGGTAAGGTAAACGTACAGGGAGACTCTTCCAGCAGTAGCACATGAGAAGTTATACATACAAAAGAGCTAGAAAAAGCATGTGAGAAAAAAGCGTACGATCGGACAAAGAAGATGGAATTCTATGGCTTTCGCCTTGGGAACTACAAGTTTTAGTGGGTGGTTGTTCCTCGTTTACTAATCACCTGTTGCCTAGAGTAAAAGAACATTAGAAAGATGTATCATAATATGTAGCACACTGTCTGGGCCTTCCCTTTTGACAACGAGTAACTGTGCAAGGAAGGGACAACTAGCTAAGCCCAGTTGCACTCACCTTGCATCTGGAAGTACTATCAAAACTGTTTACATAAACATGGGTCATAAAAAGCATACCACAAGTGTTTGTGGCTAATCAATGGGCACCAACACGCTCTAGCTATGACAGTGCTCTGAGTGGTTTGGTTTAGTCCCGCCAGGGCTTGTAGGCGCTTGTAGGCTTGTGAAACTGAGGGCTCCGTTGCATGGATATCTCTCTGCACTAGTCACTGTGAGTAATTATAGGGCTGTGTGTCTCATTAATTTTCTAATTGGAACAGTCATAATTATATATTATGCTTTTCTCTTTTGTTTCCCCTACAGCTGCTGAGTCAGCCACACCCTCTCTCTCCTCTTCATCTTCTGCAGTTCCCCCCACCTCCCAGCCTTGCCTCTCTGTCTCCGCAGCTCCTGCCTCCTCTACCACTGCCACCACTACTACCAACACTCCTGGTGAGTCCTTGCATCTCTATGTGCCCTATTTTGAAACTCATTCTATTGTACATGTTCCTCTACAGTGTCAGAGAGTTCCACAGTCTCCACCACTACTGCCTCTGTTCCCTCTCCCTCCCTGTCCTCTCCTCCTGTCTCCTCTACCACTACCAACACTACTACCAACACTCCTGGTGAGTCTTCTTGACCTAGTAGATGTTGAGTATCTCCTATTTCACCCGTTACAGCAATTAATGAGAAGAAGAAAGAAGACGATGTGATCAGTGATCGGGACCTTGCAGTAATTGCCAGGCACTACCTCAAAGATTGGGAGAAACTCCGCCCTTTCCTGAGACTCAGCAGAGCTCAGAAGAAGGAGATCGCTAGATCCTACTCAAGAGACTACGAACTGCAGAAACAAGAGTGTCTGGAGGTATGGAAGGAGGAGATGGGGAGAGAGGCCACGTACCAAGCCCTCATCTCGGCCGCAGAGGAGGCGGGGGACCAGCAGTTGCCGGACAACATCAGAGACATGTTAGAGAAGACGTGAACATTACACCACCAACCACCACTCTCTGTTGTTACCACCCAGCATACACTACCACCACTGTCTGTTTCTCCTTACCATCCAGCATTCACTGCACACAACACAAAGGCTTTAACAAATTAAACATACAGCACAAAGCTATACTGCCGCCACTTTCTTCTCACCTCTATACTGCATCACTTCTCATCTCTATACCACACTCACTCACTTCTCATCTCTATACCACACTCACTTTTTTCTCATCTCTATACCACACTCACTTTCTTCTCATCTCAATACCATACTCACCTTCTTCTCATCTCTATACCACACTCACTTTCTTCTCATCTCTATACCACACTCACTTTCTTCTCATCTCTATACCGCACTCACTTTCTTCTGATCTCTATACCACACTCATTTCTCTTCTCTATACTGTGTTTTGTATACATGCCACAGTCACTTCTTGAAGCACATGTTTACTGTGATGCGCAAAGCGTCCAAAGGCACTTCCGAATAACAATATTCGTTACTGCTGTGGTTGTCCATGAGCATTCCACCACTAGGAGCTGCAGTAGTCAGTTGGTATGCATGCATGGAATCATGCAACATGTCTATGATGTGATAGTCATGTGACCCAATCTTGTCTTGAGTCACTCCATTGACAACACCATGGTCCCATAGTTTTGTATGTATACATACATACATACATAGGCTCAAACTGCATGGTACAAACAGGATCACACTGTGAAAAATTTTATGTTTCTTGGTGCTAAAATCTAATGGAAATGTGTTGTTTCATAACAAATTTCTTTAGTTTCTTGTTAGAGGAAACAGTGAAGTTTCCATGCATGTAGAAACAACCAGGCACGGCATGTTTCTGGTACTATGATATACAGTAAAACACTCAGTTTCCCACGTCTGAAACACTTCCTCACGCAGTGTTTATCTAAAAGTAAATAGTTCTGGACATGATGTTTTAACGAAGGGAAATTATTTGTTTCACGTTGTTTCATTGACATTAATTATTCACACTGTTTCATCAAAAAGAAATAAAGAAAATCATCTTCATAAATCATGGTGTTTTCAATGACATGAAATTGAATAATAATATAGAATTTCTTTGAGAGTTAAATATGTTTCAAAAGTGATACACAAGTTGCCAAAATGATGGATATGATAATTTTTTTACGAACGGACAGCCCATGTAGGCACTGACCCAGTAGGAGGCTTTGCACGGTGAGACTCTGGACCTGCCTTCCTTCCAAAGGTCATCATCTTGCTCTTCTTGGACCTTTTCTTATTGAGCTTCTGATCCAAAGAATAAAAGAACTTGTCGACTTTTTCCGACCTCCACGGTAGAGTACGAATCAGAAAAGAACCATCTTCCTCACTGTCTTCACTGCTAATTAACTCCTCCACAAGACATTCCCTCCACCTTTGTTTGTCTTTGGCAGATGTAGAGGTTGATTTCTCCAGCGCAACCTGTCGAGCAGTCAATTTCTGCATCGCAACACAAGACATATGCATAATACATGACCAGCATGAGCTAGGAACGCATACCCGCTTCAATCGGTTTCTCCGACGCTGCTGAACACACTTTGCCTCATACTTCCCTGATATTTTGAGCTTCTCAGTGCCTGCAGCACTGTTGTAGTAAGCCCGCACAGCTTCTGCACATAAAACAGACATAAAAACGACATCAAACCACAATGCCACAGGTTAACCTTTTAATGCAGCAGCTGTACTGTTAGGCAATACAGAGAGACAGTTTTGCACCAACTTTTTCGCAACAACCTGGTTAGATACACTCGAAAACGTTTCCCTATAAAATGACTACTACATGAAGCAACTTACTCCATATTCCAGCCAAAGTCATCATCACCACTGTCACTCAAACTCTTGTAGACCTTCCTCACAGCATCCTGTATTCAATTGTGCGAAATAGTCAAATCTAAAAAACAAACTAGCTAACCCTTTCCTCACGAGAGGGAGCCACCTTCATCTTTTTCTTGCTTTGTGCAGTCTTCTCAAGGGCGTTCACTGTCTTCTCAAGTTGCGTTACTTTATCCTTGAGTGCTTTATTAGAACACTTCACTTCCAGCAATATTTGCTGCAAAATATCTACACACACACACACAAATAAAAGGTACACCTCTGCACACAAATTTTGCCTACCACTGTTGTTGCTGCAAGTGGAACTCGTAGACGGAGAAGCATCAGGAGCTAGCTTGGGGAGCAACCGTTTTCTCTTTCCCAGTCTCGTGGAGGGAGTTGTCAAGGGTGTTGTTACAGAGGACTCTTCTGAGCTAGCCATAGTTAGCTGTGAGCTTGGAGTTTCAAGCCCAGACCTGTTGTAACGGTAAGGTAACCACCACATACACATAGACCTACGTTACACTAATACTGTATGCTTAAAAGAGTATATACCTCAGTTCCACTGCCCAACTTGGTGTGTTACTGTGCTCCTCATCATCAGCGGATTCTTGATCCATTGATGCAACGCCTTCCTTGCTCCAGAGGCTGCTGACTTTTTTAGCAGGTGGTGGTGATGGGCTAAATTCATAGCCGTCTTCGGGTTGAGAATCAGCCTCAGAGTCGGACAGGATAGTCGGGGCGCCCGGCGATTCTACCAGCAAGCTGGGATCCGGCTCGATGAACGTCTGATGGACCGACATGAAGAATCTATGAACAGCCCAGAGACAGAAAACGGTGGGTGAAGAAAAGAGCGGGAAAAGGCACAGCGCCCGTGCTTGTCACATGACTTGAGTACAAAGGTCACTTTTCGCGCACGCGCACTCGTTCCAGGGAAATCATGTCTTTCCAAAATATCAGGCAGTATCAGTTGTGCCCTCACTGTGACGAGTTACTGAGTGAGAAGGCCATAAAGGAGCATAAAAGACTCTATTATGACGAGGAACGAGAAGTGTGGATAAAGGTTTCGGAGAACCGGCAGGAAGAGGCTTCTAGCTGTGCTTCTTCTTCTATTGAGTTATCTCCGCCGGGTAGTGTTGCTTCTTCCGAGTCTCTTTCCAAGTTTTCCTCAGAAGATCAGCTCCATTTTGATGAAAATTCCTGTGATATTATAGGTAAATACAAACTTTGTAGTTGTGTGGAGAATTCACAGGTCTTATTGCATCACACAGAGGAAATTGAGTACTGGGATGAGGGTGATTCGGATATTGATGAAGATTTCTCATATAATGAACCAGCTACAATAGATATACCAACGGCCTCTCAGGAAATTAACAAAGATGAAGAATCTGTGGTATGGTGGGTGGTTGTGTTCACGTGCTTACTAGAAACTTTACACTCCCTACCATCACGTGCTGTGACATGGCTACTCCACTTTTTCAGCAGCCTCTTTGTTTTTCTAAGCCGATATTCTTACAAAATATCCAATATAGCACATGCTTTTCCCTCAACCCTGTACCGGCGCAGAGATTTTATACTGAAGAAGCTTTCACTGCCATCTGTAAACCGCTATGTTGTTTGCCAGGTATGTTCATCACTGCATAGTTACAATGCTTGTCTAGAAAAGAGAGGAACTGTGATTTACATTAAGGTATGTCCTGAATGTGAAAAGGAAAGGAAAACAGTTCGTCTTCTGCGGGAAGTTACTACCAGGACTGGAAATAAAAAACATTACCCATATTGTGTTTATCCATTTGTATCTGTGGTGTCTTCCCTGCAATCACTACTCTTACGGCCTGACTTTTACGAGTTGTGTGAGATGTGGCGCTGTAACCAGAGGGATCAGTTAATCCTCTCAGATGTGTATGATGGTAGAATCTGGAAAGAGTTTTTAAATGGAAAGGCCTTATTTTCATCGAAAAATAGCATTGGATTTATGCTGAATTAGAGAGTCGGTAGACTCTCTATATAGGGATGACACGGGTGAAATCTCACGTGATCCGCGTACAAAACGACTAAAAACTCGGTGAGAATCACTTCCTAGGCCTTAAAAACATACTAGCAATAGTCTACGGGCCCATATCTACCTATACATGTCCCCCAAGAGCTCATACGCACATTCAGTCGTCCACGCGAGAATTCGCTCATACGCGATTTCACGATTTTCGTGTCTCATATTCTTCATCTTCTTCTTCTTCTTCTCCTTCTTCTTTAAACCCGCTATCTCCTTACCAGCACCAGTTCAAGCACTGATTTTTTCACTGAAGGTCTCCAATTTCGCCGGAGGTGTGCACGGACATCAAGCGATCGTTTCTTTCTTGCCGCTAGTCACTACGGTAGATCATGGAGCTCTTCCCTGGTCGACCTGAACAACGCCATTTGCTGCTTACTCAGCATCAGTGATCCGCGCGCATGCGCCAGGCAGGGGCGTTGTCCAATGTGCTTGCGAGCGTATTCTACCGGGCGAGTTGGCAGACCTGCAGAGGAACTGTCAGCCTCCAGTACCTTCTGTAAGTAAGTGTGCACATTTCCAACTGGCTATCTTGCTGTTGATATGCACGAAGAGCAACTTGCCAGAGTCTGCGCGGTGTTACGCGAGCCTTGCGGGGCACTCAGTCAAATGGGCCTTCATTGTTTGTCCCCCCCAGGTTGTAGCCTGATTACCAAAGCCTGCCAATGAAACCACAACCATGTGCAATAATCTAATTACATCCTTGTTGAAGACAATACATGGTATCTAGCAGTCCATTAGCTACTACTTTCAATTTGTCTATGGTAGCCTATCTACAACATAGCCATGAACATCAGAGTGACTGTAACAATAAATGCAGTGTTGCCAGAAGCTGTTAAAAATAGTGGAAACAAGTGGAAAAATCATTTCTTCAAAATGAAAGGGGGATATAGGGATGGCTTGAAGCACCAAAAAGGAAGAAACAAGGGGTCATTACACAGCAAAGTTGCACAAAGCTACATGACACCATCCCTATATCTTTGTTTTATTGTTTATAAGCAAAGTTTAATATCAAACAATATCAAACAAAGATATAGGGATGGTGTCATGTAGCTTTGTGCAACTTTGCTGTGTAATGACCCCTTGTTTCTTCCTTTTTGGTGCTTCAAGCCATCCCTATATCCCCCTTTCATTTTGAAGAAATGATTTTTCCACTTGTATAGATTGGTTTCAGCCCTTCAAGCACAGAATTTATTCCATTGGTGTGATTTACTTAGCAATCATGAACCTCCCCCGCAAAATTCGCTTTAAAAGGGAGAACATTCTTATTGTAGGGCTTCTACCTGGACCAAAAGAACCATCAAAAAATATTAACTCTTACCTTTCCCCTTTAGTTAGCGAGTTAATTTCACTTTGGGAAGGGGTTTCATTTAAAACCTACAGTGCTGGCACTCACATCTTTCGTTGCGCCTTGTTATGTGTAGGTTGTGACTTACCAGCGGGCAGAAAGACCTGTGGTTTTTTGAGTTATACTGCAAATTTTGGATGCTCAAGGTGTTACGGTAATTTTGGTACAAAAGTCTTCGGAAAAAAGAATTACTCTGGATTTGGACGGGAGAACTGGACCTTACGCTCAAATGAAAGGCATAGAAGGGATGTAAAAGTTACACTTGCTTGTCGGTCTAAAACTGCCCGAGGGCAGAAGGAATCTGAGTTGGGCTGTCGTTACTCTTGTTTACTACAACTGCCCTATTTTGATGCAGTACGCATGCTTATCATTGATCCAATGCACAACATTTACTTGGGTACTGCTAAGTATATTTTACATGCTCTGTGGATCAAAAACAATTTGATTTCATCGAATGACATGAAAATTATCAATAACAAAATAAAGTCCTTGGTTGTTCCACCTGAAGTGAGATTTAATCAATTACCTGCATGCATAAAATATTCATCTTCATTTACTGCAGAGCAATGGATGCTTTGGGTTAACTATTACTTCATTAATTGCCTTTATGGTATACTTCCAAGTCATCACTTGGAATGCTGGCGACATTTTGTTCTTGCATCTAGGTTGTTGTGCAAGCAAAACATGAGTATGGATGATGTCAACCTAGCCGATACCCTGTTGCTCAAGTTTTGTCAGAGATTTCAAGTACTCTACGGGCCAGAAGCTGTCACTCCCAATATTCATCTACATGCTCATCTCTTAGAATGTGTTAGAGACTATGGACCAATGTGCAATTTTTGGCTATTCTCTTTTGAGCGTTTCAATGGTTTACTAGGCAACGAACCAACCAACAACAGGTCAATTGAGCTACAGCTAGTTAACCGTTTCATAAGAGACAATGCCCACCTACAACTGCTTTCTTCTATCCCATCCAATGAAATTGATGCTGCAAATGTGCTGTCTCATGCTGTTCTTGAGCATGCATTGAACTTTACCTCTACACGACATTTAGATGCAACATGCGAGTTTGCAAAACCCCCAACCGAATTTGTACCGGATACTAAGCATACTATCTCAAGTTTTTCATCAGAAATGACAATGCTTACGGAGACGTATTGTGCAATTTCTCCTAGCTTGATCAATTCAAATGAAAATGTTATTATTCCGCAATCATGCCGTAAGATGCTATCTGCAACAGTGAGGGGACATAAGATAAAATCTGGCCAGTACGTTTTAGCTCGCTCTGTTTTTCCGTTTTCTGGCCCATCTTCAATGAAAACATATTTTTATGATCCTAAGCTTCGCCCAGCAAAAATTTCGTTCTTTTTTATTCATGTTATTCAGGTTGGTTCCACTTTTATAGATCGTTCATTTGCCTATGTTTCGTGGCCTATGCATCACCCACTACATCACTCGATTGGTCAACCTTATGAAGTTTGGTGCTGCTCACTGAATGAAGTTGCTGATAATTCCATTATCCCTACAGAAAACATTATATCATTTCTTTTAACTTCACAGCAAAATTATGAATATGAAGATGTGTTGGTTACTGTACCTGTGCTAGATTAATAAACATTGTGCAGTGTCTCTGAGTTTACACTTTACATGTTTCCTTAATAATTATTATATCCTTATGCTACGGGATATATCATGTTTCGACACTTATAGGTATAGATATTTTCATGCTGAAGGATATTTCATGTTCCTACACTATAGTAACTCACGCATGTTTCTTTATGTTGCTAAATGCTGAGCAGTCGTACTCAATGTTTCTTTGGCAATTGTACTTTAAAGAAATTTAGAATTGTGTTTCTGCACGTTTCTAATGCATGTTTCGTAACATTTCCATACGTTGCTAACATCATGAGGGATATCTAATGTTTTTGAATGAGTTTTCTACAACAGAAACATAAAATCATTTTTCCATACATGTTTCTCACACATCTGTAACACTGAAACTCGATAATTTTCATAGTGTCACTCGAAGAAACAGTCACTCCAACACGAACCAAACCCTGCGAGTTGTCTGAGTACCTGAGACTATGTATTGGTGTTATTTTTGCCAATACACATAAGTATACGTAAGTATAAGGTTACGTGGTCTTTTGGGAATAAAAATTGTGTTATGTGCAAGCAACAGGTGGAAAAGTGGTCATTGTCACGAGGGGAGTGATTGGTGATGACAGAATAAAGTTTTCTGAGATTCTCGATTTTTATTTTCAAAAAAGTACTGTGTTCTAAAGTTATGACGTGAGAACCAAGTGAACATTAGTGTTACTAAAAGAGCAAACTGTGATTTTGATGTATTGGGTAACATGGACGTGCTCATGAGCTATGCCATTATGTTTCAGGGAAATCCCCTGATACACATGTCTTTGGAAATCTTACTGCCATTGCTGTAGTAGCCTGACATACAGCTAGATCCCAAGATTTACCACATTCTTGTAGCTAACTCAGGATCTTCTCTCTCCATCTATAGAGACCCCCCTCTCTCCTACCTCCTCTGCCCCCACTACCACCACTAGCTCCTATATACTACTGCTCCTACCACCACTCCTGCCACTGTTCCAAGCAATGCTCCTACCACTGCTCCTGGTCCTGGTTAGTTGCAAGATCAGTTTTGCATGTATGATTATCTGTGCTTAACTCCATTGTCACTCTGAGGCTAAAATTTGTGAAATGCGCAATTCCATGCTTGTGCATGAGAATTGTAATTTCACAGGAAATGGTGGTGAAGGAGGTGCTTTTGGGGCATAGGCCTTTTCTCAAAGTGTTGTGTTGAGACGAGTCCACTAAAGGTGTGCACGTCATAATTGAGGAATTTTGGTATACTCTCTGTGTATTTCTTCCATTCCAGGACAGGTAGTGCTGCGTGACCTGATAAGAGATATCAGAATAGTGAAAGAGAGTGCAGTGACATTTGGAGACATCGGAGCCTTATTACTGAGAGATGATACCGGGGCAAGAGTCCGTGGAATAGCAAAGACTGCACTTGGTGACCAAGCTGTTACAATGATATACGAAATATGGATGCAAGAAGATGAAAATCACTCATGGATCCAGTGTTTCAGAGATGTTCAACTGAACTCCCTTGCCGGAGACCTTGAGCTGCACTTTGGACTCACTGACGATGGTTAGGTGGAGGGACACTCTTCAAACAATAGCGCATGACAACCAGCTATGAGCGCACTTGAAAAGGCATACAAGAAATTAAACTACGAGTCAAAAGAGCAGGACTTCTATGGCTTTTGCCATGGGGGAGCTTCACGTTTTAGTGGGTGGTTGTTCCTCACTTCACGTATTCACGTATTCACGTACTGCGTCTAGCCTACCTCTCACTACTTACATACAGAGGCACAACAGGAAGGAAGTCAAGAGACTCAAGACCTACCATCACCTTCTAACACCAATGGTATATACCACCATTTCAAGTTGCAGTGTGGATTTAGATAATAAATTTTATGTACAACTTTAACCACTTTTAGGAAGCCAGGGCGAAAGCACACAAGAAGCTGTAACTGGTAATAGCCTATCCTTGTACTGTACATAATACATTAAGAAATGGTATCATTATGTGTCGTAGGACAGGTGACGTGAGAAAGAGAAAAAGTGTAAAAGAGCAGGAATCACAACCCAAACCAAAATGGTACGTAAGTATGTACGGCTTCTGTGCAATATTTATTCTTATAATTTTCCTTCAGATGATGATAAAATGACATCCAGTGAGACTACATCCAGTGAGACTACTTCACATTCACAAATTGCACTCTGTAAGTATGTGGCTTTACATAGTGCATAGCGCATGCCTATAACTGGTCACTCATGTATACTACCACTAAAGGGGATCTGTAAACGACTCAATGTGTATGTTCTATGCCTAGCACCTCTGTATGTTTTGCAGGGCAAGGCTGGTTGGGGAAACTGGTGATAATTTTCGCATTCTGATCTTTGTGGCAGTCGGATTTCTTTACTACTTTTTGTCTTAGTCTGTTATGTTGTACATTAGCATGGACTGTCACAACCTCTTTCTGTACTTCTCTCACTATGTATGTGTAAGCAGGCAGCACATGTATATCACATTTTCCTTCTCACTCTGACTGTGTCTGACGTGCATGTGCGCAATCAAAGCCACCCACTCACGTACAATTCAAGCGGTGGAGGCTAAGTGTGCTTCCACCCCTAAAGATAATCATCAGGCACTGCTCCACACCCATATATACAACAGCAGAGATATGTTAGAGAAGAAGTACCACCCACTGTCTGTTTTCTCCTTACCATTCATTCTCCTGCACACAACATACAGCACAAAGGCTCCGCTCCATTCCATTTGCATTTCCCGTTCTCAGTTTCTGAAACATATTCACCAATGCGCGCTTCCTCTGCTGAATTATTTATCGCATGCGCGCGCACTGATTACCTCATGCGCGTAATTAATCGCTAGTCGAGCTTTTGCACGTGGAGCAGTGAGCAATCCTTCATCGTCGGTCCAGCAGTATAGTAGAAAGTTATGTATCTCTCTCCTCTGGCCGCGTCTCCATGTCCTCCTCGTCAACCGCTAGTGTGGACAACGGCTGAATCTCCTTAGACGAGAAAGGAGAGACCCACTTCGGATCTTTCACCATCTCCATGACTGGCTCTGGTATAACTATACGAGTATGTATACAGACGAATACACGCAGAGAAAGGGAGAGACGTCCCCGTTCTGCAAAAACGAGGGGCAATAATACAGAGGCTAAAAATGGGAGCGATATTGTGTGTTAGTGAATGTGAATTTTAGTTCACTTGCCTGAAGAAGATTGCTCAGGGATCGCAGATGATACTCTTGGTTTGTCTGCACGCGAAGTGAATGTTCGCAATCAAAGCCACCCATTCACTTATAATTCAAGGTGGAGGCGAAGTGCGCTTCTACCCCTAAAGATAATCGTTAGGCACTGCTCCACACCCATACAACATCAGAGACATGTTAGAGAAGAAGTACCACCACTGTCTGTTGCTCCACCCAGCATACCTTACCACCACAGTCTGTTGCTACCACCCAGCATACCTTACCACCACTGTCTGTTGCTACCACCCAGCATACCTTACAACTACTGTCTGTTGCTATAATACCACTGTCTGTTTTCTCCTTACCATCCAGCATTCACTGCACACAACACAAAGGCTCCGCTCCATTCCATCTTCATTTCCCGTTCTCAGTTTCTGAAACATAATATTCACCAATGCACTTCTCTGCTGAATTATTTATCGCATGCGCGTGCACTGATTACTGCATGCGCGAATTAATCGCTAGTCGCTAAGCGCTTTTGCACGTGGAGTAGTGAGCAATCCGATCCTTCATCGTCGGTCCAGCGGTAGTGGAAAGTTGTGTATCTCTCTCTTCTGGCCGCGTCTCCATGTCCTCCTCGTCAACCGCTAGTGGGGACGACGGCTGAATCTTCTTAGACGAGAATGGAGAGACCCACTTCGGATCTTTCACCGTCTCCATGACTGGCTCTGGTATTTAAACTATACGAGTATGTATACAGACGAATACACACAGAGAAAGGGAGAGACGTTCTGCAATTAACGAGGGGCAATAATACAGAGAGGCTAAAGATAGGAGCGGTATTGTGTGTTAGTGAATGTGAATTTTAGTTAGATGAGGTTAATAATAATATTGTGTTTGTGAGATAAGATTTTCATTTGATTTTCATTGTAGGAGACATTGGGTACCTGTCCGAGAAAGTGAGGTGTTCAGAGGCGATAGTATTCTGACATACCCCAGCCTGTCTATAGTAGGCAGCAATCGCAGCATCAGCATGTGTATTCACTTGCCTGAAGAAGATTGCTCTGGGATCGCAAGATGATACTCTTGGTTTGTCTGCATGCGAAGCCCTTCACCCTCTGCGGTAACATGGACCCATACTTCGGCTGGAGAGTTCAGTTGTTATGGGACCAGACTAAAAGATTTAACATAGAGGTTAGTGTGACATAGTCAGCTACTGAGATTGCTGTTGTCTCCAGCCCATTCCGACAGTGTGTGGGGCGTGGCCTGGACTCGGAATGAGACCCTGGACCAGGAGCTCATTGTGTCTGGCTCTGTCGACAACACAGTCGGAGTGTGGGCATGGTGGGCTTCTATTTATAGCATCAATATGATCATTACGCCATTGATATTTATGTACAGGGATGATGGGAGGTCCCTATTGGAACCAAAGTGGACCTTTGAGGGGCATCAATTGGGAATCATCTCCGTGGCAACCACCCCCACTGGAACAGGTAAACAACAACATTGCTTCCTAGTCGTTTCAAATGTGGCAATTTTCTACATTGTGACATGTGCCATAGATTCTAAATATACGTGAAACACGCGGAAATGGAACTGCTCTCTTCACTTGCCAAACCTCTAGTATAGTCTGTGATGATTGTTGCTGTGTGCATGCATGCAGTGGGAGCCAGCAGTGGTCTGGATGGTGGTATCAGGACATGGGACCTCACCACAGTGGATGTATGGACTCTCACCTTCTCCCCTGACTCACAGGTACACATCTCGTATCCTCCTCTGAGTTACAGTGGAACCTCTCTCTTAGGACACCCCTGAAATGAGGACACCTCTCTAAATTATTCTTTCCCCAAGAACAGTTCTTGCATGCATTTTAACCCCTGAAATAAGGACACCTCACTAATATGGACACTTTATTCTGTCCCATTGGTGTCCTGTTTTTCATTTTACACAAACTTCATTCTTAACTCCTGAAGATTTCTTCTAAAGCAGTACATAATAGAGAGCATGTTGTTTTTCTCTCCCTCCCTCTCTAGTTCATAGCAACAGGTAGTCACAATGGTAAGATCAACCTTCAGTGCATCGGAAGGAAAGAAAGCCAGTTCTCTGGACACCCGCGGCAAATTCATCATGAGCGTCACCTACGTGAGTCACACGTCATCTATGTGGGTCACATGACATCATGTGATCCCATTAACCCCTCTCCCACTAGAGTCCAGATGGGAAGTTGATAGCGAGTGGTGCAGTGGACGGAATCATCAACGTATTTGACGTGGCCACTGGAGCTCTCCTGCACACTCTGGAGGGCCACGCCATGCCAGTCAGATCTCTCTGCTTCTCTCCTGATTCCCAGCTTCTCGTTACCGCCTCTGACGACAGGGACATGAAGATCTATGACGTGTGAGTGAGACAGCAGGGAGCACATGGGGTTGATTGTGTCAAACTTCAGTCGGTCCAGTACATTTTGCATTTTGTTTACAGTGAAACCACAAAACTATGGGGCCAACGATTTTCATCGCTTGCAGAGGGGTCGTCCCTATCTCGGAGGTTAAATAATATATTGAAGTACATACATAATTAACACTTCCTCGCAGAATTTTACATGCACATGTCTGTGTCAACCACATTAAGGAGAAATAATTATTATGAAAGCTGTTCAACTCTTCCTTTGCTTTCATACTTACATACCTCACTTATGCTTAGTTTGTCTATCTCTTTCTCCCCTTATTTTCCTCCCTATGCCTTTAAACCTTTTTTCTTTCTCCCCCCTTTTTTCGTCTTTACTCTCACTCTGCTTCCCCCACACCCACACACACACACCCCGACTCCCGACCCACGACCCACTCCGTCCATGAGGAAGCAATGTCTCTACTCCTCGTCTTCCTCTCCTCCCAGATGTATGGCTTCTCCTCCGGCTCTGGGATTCTCCTACAACACATTCTCTCCATACCTATGTACGGGCATTACATCAACATTACATCACTCTTACTGCACGTCATCGTTTCGATGTAGAGAGTGGTATACAGATTTTGGTTGTGACAATCCCTCCACCACCTCCACCCACAATTGAACTAGGCATACTCTGCTTCTTGCTCCTTTCAGATTTCATCCTCTTTACTCGCCTCACTTTCCCCCATGCCTCATGTTGCCCATTCTCTGCCTCCCAGCAGCTGCGTGTACGAATGCTTGTAGCACGCAGCTGACTGCTCAGCTGGTGAGGCTGAAGAAGGCGCTGCGCAAACTGAAGCGCTGGCCCCACCAGACTTTAGTAAACTCTTTCCTCTCCTGCCCTCTCCTCCTCTCGCTCTCTCTCCTTCTTCCCCCTCTCTCCCTCTCTCTCTCTTTCTCTCTCCCTCCAGTGACCAATGCAACAGTTTGGTCCATCGTCTCGTCCTCCATTTTTCCAGCCAGCCCTCTGCTCCCCCCTCCCACCTTCACTCCCCATCCAGTGTCATCTCCTCCATTACAAGTAAAAACCACCTACAATAGTACACAAAACTAGTACGAAGATCTTGAAGGAGTTAGAACGACCTTTTGCATCCATTTGTCACTCATTAACAGACCTAATATCTGACAGACACACTTGCAATATTCAGCAACATGCTTTTAGAGTGTAGCTATGGTCAAAGAAATACACTTTACCTTATGTGCATATGATTCAATCTGTGTGCGTCACATTAAGTTGATAATGTTTGTGTAATCTTCACTTGTTGTTTGCAATTCTGAATTAACTTGCTGCCATGTACATACATAGGTCTTAGTGTTTTAATAATTAACTTTTTTTGTGTGTGTGCATGTGTATGGACATGTGTATGTAATTATTATTACAAATGTCGTTATACTCATTTCTACAGCTGGTATTTGGTCGATGATGTTATCAACAGCTGCAGCCACCCAGCCTCCCTCCACACTGGCCGACGGGGCCGTACTACTCCTATTAGTGCTCACCCATCAGCAGATGAGTGGCCGCAATCCGTACCGTCGGGCCCTGCTACAGTTCACTGACGAACACAGCAGCAGGAAGACCAGAGCCCCGTTCTCTCTCAACCTCCAGAAACTGTACCTCTCTCTCTGCAAGTCAGTGAAATGGTTACTTGTTATGTTATTTCAGTTTTCTAGTAACTACCAGCCTCTACACCTATCTTCCTCTCCCCCTGTCTTCCTTTTTTCTTTCTGTCCAACCTCTCTTGTTGGTGAGCAGGAGTATGTAGTATATATATTGCAGTGGTCCAAACAGTCGCAATTGTCTACTTTGGTACATTGTCTAACTGTACATGCTCTGTCGTTTGGATTACTCATTTCTTTGCATGTGCCGTAGTGTGTCTGCCGCTATCTTTCCCACATCACAGAAATGCCCTGCATTCGTGTAATAGTCTCTTTTCTTCTCCCTCCCTCTCTCCACTCCACTCCCTCCCTTCCTCCTTCCCTCTCTCCACTCCACTCCCTCTCTCCCTCCCTCTCTCCCTCCTCCAGTAACCTGTCGGAGCAGACGACTCTCCTCCTCTATCTCCTGCTACAGGGAAACCCTCACGTCGCATCTTTCATCTTCTCTCGATCTGACATTGCCCTTCTGGTAAAACCTCCATTCTTACTACAACTATTTGAGTCTTCAGCTTGTACATAGCGTATTCTCTCTTTATGTCTGTCTAATCTCTTACCTCTCTCTCCTTACACTGGCAAGAAATGTACTATAGTCTTACAAAGTTGACAAAGCTCATATTATGTGAACATCATGTTAGAGCATGTCACACTTTAAAAGTTATGTAATGTGTCAGGACTAAATTTAGAAATGCTACTAAAGATAGCAATGAGGGCAAATTTAGCCCTTACTGCCATATTCCCTTCAATTCCTAGTTTTCTCACTCCCCAATTGTGTTTACTCTAGCTGCATGCTCAGACTTTGTTCTTGGCCCCCTCCTCCCCCTATATCAGGTGGTTCCTCTCCTCCATCATCTCCATGGCTCCAGTCAGCAGCCGTCCAGTGCCCATCATGTCTACATGTTGCTCATTGTTCTCCTCATCTTCTCTCAGGACGACTGCTTCAACAAGTCCATACACGAACAGTGGAACCTCCGAACAAGGGACACTATGGGGATACTATGGGGCCAACGATTTTGTCCCTTGTAGAGAGGTCGATCCTATCTCAGAGATTAAATAGTACACCAAAAGTATTAGCGTGGGTTGAAACAAGTGTCCTTTGTAGAGAGGTCATCCCTATCTCGGAGGGTCCCTTATCGGAGGTTCCACTGTATCTCCCTCCCTCATTTCATCCCCCATTTCCTCCCCCCAGCATCTCCAGAAGGTGGAGTGGTATTCTGAGAGATCACTGACCAACATATCAGTTGGTAGTCTGATGGTAATAGTCCTGGTCAGAACTATCCAGGCCAACATATCCCTCATTCAGGTATACACATAGTACATGTACAGCATACACTAGACTGGATGCAATGTGTTTCAATATTCTTATTGTTGTCTTTGTTGTTGTAATTTTTAGGGTGGTACTAAACTCAACATTATGCTTGTATATAGTCTTGCATGCCAGCTAACGATCCATGCTTCCTATGTAGCTAGGCCACATTAGGTTGTTTCATAGATGTACACTACATGTATTTAAGGTCACTATTCTGTTGAGTAAGATAAAAGCCAATATTTTATCACAAAGTCCAGAAAAATAGCAAAAAGAAGAGCGATGGGGGAGTCGATCCGATGGCGAGGCGAAGGAGGTGGAAAAAAAAAACAGTAGGTGAAACACGGGGTCAAGGCAGGAGAGGTAGTCTAACATATGGATAGTCGAGAGGTTTAAGGAGGGGCTTCGGGATACTTGGAGGGTTTGAGGGAGAAAAGAGTGGGAAGAGATATGGGGGGTTCAAATAGCAGGTTTGCTGGGGGGGGGGAGTCGCGAAGGTAAAGACGGCAAAGTCACAAGGTGGACTGAGCCTGAAGTGGGAATGGGGCGAGGTACGGGTGGAGGTCGATCTTTGGGTGAGAGGTAATTGGTGTGTTTGGGGAAAGCGTGGGGTCTGCGTTGGTTATGTTTAGGGCACTCGGGGTGAGGGACGACGAGCCAGAGCTTGTCTGGTGGTAGGGGGGCCTGGGTTCAGACAGGCACCAGCGGGAGGCAACCCGGCGGTTATTAAAGGCTAGCTGACCCAGCACCCCAATTTCCGCTCTGTCTTTCCAAATACTGTAATCACATGACCCCCCAATACCCCTGTCTCCAACTACTGTATCACATGACCCCCCAATTCCCCGCCTGTCTCCGAAACAACTGTGTCACATATGCCGCATTTCCCCTGTCTCCCAACTACTGTACACATAACATATTTCCCCTTGCTCTCTCGTCTCCTCTCTCTCTCTCTCTCTACAGGACCAGTACCTCAGCCACCACTGTCTGCTGGCACTGGTCTGGCTAACATGTCGTCCCACTTCAACTACCCCTCATCTCGATGCCGCCCAGAAGATTGTCACGTAAGAGACATTGGTTGATGGATGTGGGCAGTGACAATGGTTAAACTTAGAATGTTACGTAAGATTGATTGAGATGAACTGAACACGTATAAGTGCAAGGATGCTTTAGGCTCTGTTTTTAACATTTCTATCTAATTTATCTGCTACATGCCGTTTACTGATTGTGGCTGACTGTTGCCATACTGTACTGTTTAACAATATACATAATATGTGTGTCAGTACGTGTAATGTCCCGACGTTTCTATAAACTGAGCATTTATGGACTGAACTAATGTAGCAGCCTGAAGGTGTTACATGCCCTGGTGGCTCAGTTGGTAGAGCTCTCGCCTAGACTGCAGAGTGTCGTGGGTTCGAATCCCACCCAGGGCAGCTCTCCTTCTTTTCTTTGAAAAGAAAGAGCTGTCCTGGGTGTAGTTGACTTGTTTGCCTTGCCTTGCCTTTCAAGTACCTCGTTACCATGTTGTTGAGGCATGCAGTAAGTTGTGCGTATATGGGCCGAATGAGATGAAATGAAGGTAAAGTTTTGTTTTTGCAGATTGTTCAAACAACTGGCTAAAAAGTACCACAGGATAACTCAGACGACCACACCCACAACCACGCCCACTTCAGCCACACCCCTATCCCCAGACTCTGAGGCTGTGTTCAGAGAGAGTGCAGATTTTGTGAGTGAATTGTACAACACAATAATAATGCAGAGACATTAACTACAGTAGCACCTCCGATGAGGACACTCTGACCGTAGAAACACACTCAAAATAAGACACACTTTCCGGTGGCAAGCATCACTTTTCCCATTTTTTGACGCAATGCCATGTCCCAACATGTTCATTATTCAGGGGTTCCACAATAATTGCAAACAAGGCGAGTGCATAATTAGTACATACCTCTGGTCATCTAATACATATCTCCAGAGTACAGAGGTGGGGGTAGTGGAGGAGATTCTGGTGATGATACTGGAGATTGTCAACTCGTGTCTGTCCCATCGTCTGGCGACCAACCCCCACCTGGTCTACTGCCTCCTCTACCAGAGAGAGGTGTTCTCCCCGCTACACACCTCCCCTCCCCTCATGGACCTCGTCAGGAACATCCTCAGTGTGAGTTTATTTCTCTCCCTCTCCTTCCTTTAGAAACGATTCCCAATATTCCGTTTCACAATTTGATATCTGCATGACAAACATTCAGAAAAACTAGTGCAAATTCACTCTAGTGTTGTATGCATACACTGGAACCTCCGAACAAGGGGCACTATGGACCAATGATTTTGTCCCTCATAAAGAGGTCGTCCCTATCTCGGAGGTCAAATAATACACTAAAGGAGTATTAGCATGGGGTTGAAACAAGTGTCCTATGTAGAGAGGTCGTGCCTATCTCAGAGGTCGAATAATACATTAAAGTGTATTAGCATGGGGTTGAAACAAGTGTCCTATGTAGAGAGGTCGTTCCTATCTCAGAGGGTCCTTTATCAGAGGCTCCACTGTACTTCAAAATGTTGTACGCTACCAGTCAGGAAAAAAAACACGTTTATTTGTAGTGGTTACAGAATTACTACTCTGTGTAATTCCAACACTTTGTATTACACTACAATACGATTGCAGTAGTGTAAAGTCTAAGATACACAGGATAATACAGTACTTTTTGTAGTGTAGTGTGGTTTGGTGTCTTCTGTCTGTGTCTAGGTGGTGGAGTTTTTCTCAAAGAAGTTGGAAGAGAGTGGACCATCTCCCTATTCTTCTCCATTTGTCCTGGAGACCATCATCAGATGCTCTGCCACCTGGCCTCACCACAGACTGCGGGTATGAACACTACTACCACATCTCTCACACCTTTCTTTTCTCTGTCGTGTCACCCACTTTTCCTATGACTACCTATATATGTATCAGTTTAGTGTTGGCACAATTCCAAACAAACACCAAACTGTAATATAGCTGATGTGGTGGCTTTGGAAGTACATACAGTAGCCACAAACCTCCCCAACTCCTTGTATCAAGTAGTGCATAATGTTGTAGGTTAACCAAACTCTTAGAGAAGAAACTCAAATGCCCTTGTCAGTTTGTTTGTTGCCCCTAACAGATAAATTATTATACGTTCTACTGTTGATGTCCATGTTTGTTACTCTCTTTCTGATAAAACGTTTCAGTCTATTGAAAGCTTGCCCCTAACAGATATTTAGTAAGCTGTGACATCACCACCTGTTTTGTCTACACTGCAGGTATTTCCAGAGCTAAAGTTCCGCTACGTGGAAGAAGCTCAACCGGAGGAATTCTTTGTGCCCTACGTGTGGACCCTAGTCCACAAGAACTCTCCTCTCCACTGGCAGCAGTTTCACGTCTCCTGCTCTCCCTCCTCCTCTTCTTCCACCATTCCCCACTGACACTTCTCAACTCCCATCCCCTATTCTCATCCTCATCTTGTGCATCAATAATTATTAATGAAGGATAATATGTGAATATGCTCAGCATTCTGCTATATTAGGTGGGGGAGTGGTGAATTTTGATGTATGCGTGGGTGTAGAGCTGGTAAACAGGGGCAACGGTTGCACGCATGCACGTTGAGAGGGTGAAGCCGGCCACACCCAAACATAAGCGTCGTGGGCGTCAAACAACAAGACGCTCGCTTTATGGCTGAGCCACGTCCACAGCTAGCCGAGTTGTCTCGTGCTCTAGACACTCTCTCCCAGGAGAAGGTCCGCTACCTGTGCGTGGAGCTCGGAGTTCCTTCCCCCGCTCTTAGCAAAATCGATGCCAGTCATCCACGAGACGCCCCCCGATGTACCACTGAGTATCTGGAGGCCTTACTGGAATATGATGAATTGTTGTCCTGGCAAAGAATCGTGGAGGTTCTCAACTCCAGCAGACTCCGACAACACCCTCTCGCGGCCAGGATAAGGAGAACTTACTGTGCGTCATACGCGGCCGGCCACAGTGGTTTGCCCTCCCCTCATCGATCCCGCTCATCTAAGACAGGTGAATTTACTGCTAGGGAACAATGCCTTTGGTGTATACGTGACACTGTAAATGAACCTCCGCCCCTACAATACTCAATTGATACGTCTTTTTGCAGAGAACATAGAGGTTATCTGCGCGTCAATTATGGAAATACGCGATTTATACGGCCCGATGGAGCTGTAGCTGTCCCCATTGGATACAGCGGGCTTGAAGTCGTCGCCGCGAGCTCTCAGCGACAGAGAGCGAGTTTCTCTGCGCGGAAGCTTGCCACGCCTGAAAGACGCCATTTTTGTTTGGCGTCTCCGTGGAAACACGCACTTGGAAAATACAGAATCCACGTTTTTATTGGTCATAATCTGCCGACGTCTAATTAGACTACGGGTAACACGCAATTGACCAATCAGATTTCAGATTCCGATTTTAGACGTCGGCAGATTCAAATTGAAACGTGGATTCTGTTTTTACACAAGTGCGTGTTTCCACGGAGACGCCCGCCAAAAATGGCGTCTTCGATGGGGGTGTGGCAAGCTTCCGCGCAGAGAAACTCTCTCTGTCGCTGAGAGCTCGCCGCGACGACTTCAAGCTCGCTGTATCCGATGCTTCTTCGATGAAAGGCGTCTCTACGATGCAAAAAGAAACTAAAATGAAGGCCTTTTTCGCTTCCCCCGGCGAGAGCGAGTCTCGCAGAAGAGGACGATTTGACGGCCAGCACGGCCTCAGGTTATAATACACGATTTATACGGCTTCGGAGCCCTTAGTAACGTCTTCGCTGCGCTCAGACAGCTACAGCTCAGGGCCCCTGGGGCCGTCTAAATCGCGTATTGCCATTGACGAGCAGTAGGTTACCTCTTCCGCGGTAACTATTTCGCTGCCCTGCGGCGCTTTTCTAACGCGCATTGCCCATGACTGCCTTCAATTCGAGAGACGCTGTGCGTGCGGTAGGAAAACAGAGCTTCTGGAGAGGTTCTTTTTCACGTACTCGGTCTTCCAGTAGGAAGCGGTGCATGACTACAGGGCCCTAGCTACCGCTGGAGCCAGACGCCCACGCTAGCAGTGCGAAAAGTGCCCAGCGGCCTCGCCTACTTTCGCGTTAGCGAGCCTCGCCGCCTAGAACAAACACTCTCTACTGCTGGTACGGGCCTTGCTGGTATAGTCGTTGTTTTACGCGTGGTCGAACTGGCTGCTGGCCACTGCAAATAGCCTGTATACTTCCAGTTCGTCCTCAGCAAAAAGCTCCATAATCTGTGACCCCAGTAAGCCGTCCATCCCCAATGCAGCGTGCGTTCAAGTGTGCTCTGCGTTGCTGTACTCTAAGATGGTTAGTTGCGTTGCCTTGCATGATTTAGTGAGGCTCGTGGCCCTGGGTAGTGCCCTTGCTGCGCTCAGGACGCCGACAGCCTGGGGCCCTCGGCTCACTAAATCGCGTAGTTCCCGCGCCCCGCATCTAACCTTCCTCCGTTGAGGGAACTATGGGATTCCCAGGGCTCCGCGTGGTAGTGTCCCAAGCGCAGCGAGGGCACACTACGAGCCGGGATAGAGGGTTCATTGAAATCCCGTAGTTCCCGAGTATACGGAGTAACTAACGCTAATCCGTATACGCACATCCCCCGTTTCCAGACGCGACTGAAATTCGTGAAGACGCGCAGCACGCCATGAGGGTTGCAATGTTGCATGGATACCGAGCTTCCGCGTCTAACCAGTTTAGACCGGAGATCTGATTGGAAGAACGGAGTACCGCGGCACTCACCCGTTGTTCAAGCTGTGCTGAGAGCCTGACGTTTTTTCCATGCGAGAAACTGAAGATGCTTGACTCTAGAGCTCAGGAGTCTGTCGACAGACTTCTCGCAGCAGCTACCGCGCGATGTAAGTTGAGCCACGCCTACTGCAAGTGGTATATACCCTACCAGCCCCGCCTTCTACTCTTGCCTCACGGGGAAGCAGTCGGTTTGCGCAGATTTGTACGGGGAATTTGCCGTAGACCACCTGCAAACACCAATAGACAGACACCTGAAACGAGAGAGTATATGAAGAAAAATAAACCACCCGCAATTCTGCAATCTGATTGATCAATTGCGCGTGACTGCGGTCTATTGTGGAAGCTAAAGCTACAAGTTTCTGTAGATGTTGTTCGTGATGCTGTCGTTTTCATGTAAAAATTGTACAAGGTTTTCTATGAAAAAACTCATGTTTTCATGTTAGTTTTGTTAGCGTACAAGTTTTACTATGAGAAATCAGGAACCGACAAATCTGATTGGTCAGTTCAAACTAGCTATGCACTAAAATATAGGGCAGCGTACACGCGAGCCTTTAAGCGGGGAGTTAACCTATGTGTGGAATGCAGGAACTTTGCCACAGGCACAACCGCTCTTACTGGAATAGCATTCTCGTCACATTACTAGTTCTGTAGCTGCGAGTGGTGTAGACTCGTCTAGTACGCACACACGTGGCTGCTTTCTTTCGAAGTGATGTCTTCTAGCTAAATGTCTCAGAACGCAGCAGTATCGCTATCCTGTGAGAGTAGGGTCAGGCTGCACAAGGGCTACTTTCCTAGGTGTGTTTAAGCGTGTGCAGTAGTAAAGCGTAGAAAGCAAGCCTGAACCTTGCTCCTGCCATAACAAAGCAGGATGATAAATAAAGGGGGAATCAGGAACTGTTGAAAACATAGGCAAAGAAGGACGCTGCACGTCCAAGTTTATCGCTGAGTTTGGTCGCTCAATATTTGGAGGATTCACTTAGAAATCTTAAGGAGTATGGTAAGCTCAATACATTACCGAGTGGAACAGATCATCTAGTGATTCCATGCTGTAGATATTAGGGGTTCACCAGAATAGGCAGGCTCATCAGTATTGAGTAAGATCTAACCACCTACAAACCTTTTCTGATACTTGTTTGGCTTTGCCTCAAGCAAAGGCTTTATTTCTGCTGTGCATTCTCCATGGAAGACAGGCTGCTGACTTGGCAAAAGTTGCACTGAGAGTGTATAGTGTTATAATTGCTCCCCCCCTCCGCCGTTATACACCAGCTCCACTCCTCTGCTATGGCACTACCTGCGCTCTTTACACCTAGTGCTTCTTCGTACTTCTTCTGATACACACCTTACACTTGGTCACGCTGCCCGGCGAAATTCACCGGCCCAATGCCGAAACTATACTGCCAAGAGACGGTATATACGTGTAACTAAAGGACTGTAACGGACTTAGCTGCCTAGCTTCCTCCGTTGCATGAGCAGAAACCGAGAAAATCACCGGAAGTTATACAAGAGGTTAATTGCTCTGAGGAATGCGGCTACGCGTTCACTTCCTGTTTTTTGGCAAATTATCCGTAATCTGTACGCTTGCTTATCGACTGTTTAACATTCATTCATGTTCCGCTACAGTTAGTGCCTTTTTCCAAGGTCTCTGGGGCTGGTACAGTGGCTTTAAAATTTTTAACTGAGTTAACTGGGAATAATTGAGTTCAGGCACCTTGCATATATGCACTGAAAAGTTTTGTGGATAGAGTTCACCCTATGTTTAGTTCATTACATTACACTGCCCGTGCTATAGCATAGCACCAAATGCACTCTGATTATTGGTGAACGGAAGTGGCCAACCTAGGCATCAAAACACGCTGACATTTATACACCTGTGGCCTGAGTGGGAGCTCACGGAGAAGAGTTAAAATAGTGATCGAGGCACATTCTGATGAAATACTTAGTGACCTCAGTTGTCGCTATTTCATGACCCGTGACTGAGCACAACAAATCTGCAATAAAGTTGACGCACACAGCCAGTTGTTTCAGCCTGTGGGACTATTATGTCCACTGCCGTGAGTGTCATGGACAGTATGTTACGTACTTGTGCTTCACACACGATCCTGCTGTTCTTTAAAGCTGTCGGTGTGTCCTATGTTGCTTCATGTAAGCATCACACAACTGCATAAGATTGATAACTCTAGTGGGCAGTCCATAATTTGGCAGAGAGTTCAGTTGGCTGCCGTATCAAAAAAGCTGCTGTGTGCAAGTGTGTGTCCTTGCTCTCCTTACTTCTGTTGACGCTCCTACTCCAAGAGGTCCATGCCATGGCTAGCTGAGCGTAAGAAGATTGTGATGTGCAAATGACAGCTCCTTGCCTTGCTCTGGGTTTATTTCCGCATAAATAAGCACATGTGGAGCACCCTCTGACCTGTATGCTTAATGCTCACATTATTGTGCTCACGCTCACCAAAAAATGCACAGCATTAACCCTTGGCGGCGCGCATGCGCAGCGAGGGTTACAGTATGTCCTGCTCCGTGTCTGTCTGTTCTGTCTGTCTGTCTGTTTAGCGCACCACGTTTTCTTGCACCGACGCTCAACAAACAGGCCAAAAGTCTACACTAACTTGTTCAGGGCTACCTGGTTTTCTTTTAACTGGCGATTTCTAAAAGTACTGTGGCGTTCAAAGTTATGGGGTGAAAACCATATCTAATAAGTATAGTACCAATCACCATGGCTTACCTCGACCCGCTTGTTGCCTTCAGGCACCATTGCGGAGGATATAGGAGAAACGAACTCTGCCTAAGTTTCAGCTAGGCAGCACGAGGCACTGCAACGATCGACGGGTTGGGTATGCGAGCCGGTAGTTAGGGCGAGTCGTAGGAGGCAGAGGACGGGAGAGAGCTAGAATTGACTAGTTCGCATGTT